TGAAGTTTCTGTTTTCTGTTTTCACTCATTTTAATAACCCGTCAGGCTTTGCACTCCCTATTTTCTCTTCCTCAGGCACTCTGGTATTTCCCACTCTGCAAAGAGCTGGATTTCATGCAAGGCTTAGCTCTGTTCCTTGATTTACACTCACTCACATGACCACCCTGCTTCCCATCCCTTTCACAGAGCTCCCAACCAGTTTACTTTCAGCTACCCCCTCTGAGCCCCACTGGATTCTTAAGACTACAGTCGCTTCATATACAGATATTATTTTTATACATTGCTCGGTGCCTGGGTTGTATTACTCAAGCCACTTCCAAATGAAAACATACCTGGATTTTTTTGAGTTTAGCTAAAATCATCTAAACTTTTCCTTCAGGGGAACTTTAAAAAAAACCCAACAAAAACAAACACACACACAGACAAATGACTCTCAGTGGACAATTAATAGTGTAGGGTACAGAAAATGTCCACAGATCAATAGGCACTGGAACACCAACATGATTAAATCTCTACCAATTTCACGCTGCTGCTAACAGAATCTGTGCGACAGATCAACATGGAGTCCTGTTATAGTTCTTCTCTACAGCCACATAATATCCTACTTTTCAAAACTTTAAACTGTTTTTTCTTTTAAGATAGTATTTAAGGAAACAGACAAGAGCCTACTTGATGACCATGGTACAGAACAGTGCCTAAAGGTAGCAGAACCCGTTGATGATGCTTGTGTACAGTCTCAGGAAACTGGATTCTCATCGCTCTCCCACTAAGGAACCAGAATGGGGAAGTAGACAAGGGAAACGACTGTTTGTGGAGTGATGTGATAGGCAGGGGTAGAGAACTTGCTAGCTGAGGGGGTTGGAGCTATCATCTTAAGCAGAGGAAGACAGTTGAAGAGTCAGGCTGCCAGCCAGATGTACAAATGAGCAGAAGACCTTGTTTCCAGCATGAGTGGTCCTAGGCTGGGCATGCTACCAAGAACTTAACTGTTCCTCTCATATCTTTCTTTTATTTCTCTTTTACAGCAATATTTACAGGAGAGTACAGAGGTAAAATACATACATAGGTCTGCAGGTTGTGTCTGTGGAATAATACCTAGCTTATATGTAGTGCTCTTCATGAGTAGACCTCAAGTGCTTGATGGAGTAACGCAATCACACAGAGCCATTTGATACACTCTGCAGTCCACAAGTAGGCATGTAATTTTTATACACAGTACATGAGAATTTGGTACAGAAGAAGTCCTTAGTTATTTATTTATTCAGTGTCTAAATGGGAGATTAACATCTTTCTCAGTACACAACAGTAGTTTTAGCACTTTGTCATGGTCCACATCTTTTTTTCTTGTATTTTCCAAGTAGCTCACTGAGCAGCGATCTGTTCCATATCTTGTGCTCTCTTTAGTCACTTTACCAGCAGTGTTTTCTCTGAGCCATACTATATTGGTGTTATGAATACAAATATACTGAATAAACAGCTTTCTTTGTTTCGCATCCTCTACGTGCAATGTTTGTTTTGAATTAACTCGACTATTTCCTATTGGAAGCCTCTCCAAGATGATTAGAAGGAGGTGGCAGTTATGTATCTTGGGGTTATTTCTCCAGAAATTATCTTGTACAGCAACCTGAAATTTTGCTTCTCTTTCTTTTACATGCTGCACCTTGTCTATTCAGTGCTATTCTGAGTTACACGGACAATGGGAATCCATTTCTTAGATCTCCCAGCATACCTGATTTATTTTCATACTTAGACATGGATTTCTGTATCTGCCTAATCTATTCCAGAGTGATAGGAATGTCAACATTTTAAAAATACAAATCTGACCTTTTATGGTTGTAAGTTTTGAATGACACTAAAAGAATAGATCTCTGAGTTAGAAAAAAACCTAAACTATCTAACCGTAGTCTTCTGAGACAAACTAGGGGTTCAGTATGTGTTGTCAGGAAAGTCTTAACAACAAATGTCTTTATGCACTTCCAGATAGCTAAAGTGGTTGATGCATATGTTAAAAGACTCAAGACTGGATTTGTACTTCAATCTGTATGGTATCTCTAGAGGACTAATTTCAGTAGGGAAGCAGTGTCCCCTGGTTTGTTAACATGAAGCTAATATTTGATTCCCTATTTTCCCCCCTCTTTCCCAGCTGAACCTAGAAATGTGTCCAGAGATCAGAACAAGATCGTTGGGAATATCAGTGGTAGCAGTTTGGAAAAGAAGCAGAAATCTTAAGGGACATCCATCTTAAAAGTTCTTACTCTACCTACCAGGATTAGTAGAATTTATGATAGTTTGTCAGAGTATTTATGGTTCAGTTCAATATTCATTCCAAGAAATCAGAATCCTACTTTTTTGTACTTACACAACTGAAGAACCCACCTGGGAAGAGATGTCCTCTTACTGTCTTTTATCTTAGATCTTAAAATGCTGTACCGCAAAACCTCTATTTAATCTAATTTTAGGCTTTTCCTCAGCAAAGACTGCTGAATTTGCCAATCTGTGTGTTGTGGGTTTAAAGCCCCAGAGGGACAAAGATGAAGCCAGGAAACTCATTGCACTTGCAACTGAAACCCAGAGCTCATCACAATTTAAACAGACTTTCACTTTAGACCTAGTACGCCCCTACTTAGCTACATTACTCTCCCTGAAAATCTTATTTTAATGTAGAATTGTAATTATTCCCTTTGCATCAATAAAAAAAAAAAGAAAGGAAAAGGAAAAGCAATAGGAAATTAATGCATAAAATCAGATTAAAGATTTGAATTTTCTATGAGAGGAGCCTGGGGACAGGTTTGGATGCCTTCACTGAGTATAATATATTTCCATGATAATTATAACACTGACAGAGACAGGATTAATCAGAGATCATGCTCCAGCACTTCACTGGGTTTCTGCTATTTACCATCTTCCCGGTGAGTTTTATGTATAAGGAGTTTTGTAGGCAGTCAAAAAGTAAAATTAAATTGAAAATTAACACAAATGCAATAGTAAGACTGAGAAGTACAGCATATAAAAAAGGAAATCCCAGAAAGTTACGTTCGCTACAGAAGTGTTAACGGAGCCTGCTGAACCTCACAGTAGCATATTAAAGAGAATCGTGGTTAAAGAGGAATAAAATATATGACAGATGTGCAACATGGACGTTTCTACAACATGTTCACTTGATCCTTTCACATTTCCTGACTTGCATGCGTGCCTCTTTCTTTTTTAGAAGAGATAAAAGCAGGATAGAGAAAAGCACTGCTATCACTTCAGCAATGCTGCCTTAACTGAGGTGGCCTTCTTAACTCAGGAGGCCTTAAAACTCAGGAGCCCTTAAGCTGTTAAGAGTGCCCTAATACCAAAGCAGTTCAGAGACCCCAACTGTTCTAAACCACTTTAGCTTTGAGGTGACCTACAAAATCTAACAGAAAGGGTTCTGACACACATGCAGACATGGGCTGTGTAAAGGAAAACGACCAGATATTTGGTTTTATGCTTTAAAAACAAACACGTTATTAAACAGAACATAGCATTAAAGATCTCAGCTGTTAGTTACGAAATGTCTGGAGAAGTTCCAGCTTTTCTATAGTTGTGGATGGCTCTGACTATAGGGGCCTTATTCTGACACAAAGATACTTCAATCTGCTCATTCTCTCACACTCTTTCCTTCCTCCCTTAACCACATCTACCAGATAATATTCCAGTCACTCCCCCCAACCCAAGTCTCTCTACATTCAGCTACCATGCAAGTTTGACTTCACCCTTGTGGTGGATCTCACCATCCTCCTTTTCCCCCAGTCAAGAATCTGGGATTTCTTTCTGAGCCTCATTCTATCTTTTTTCCCCCTGCTCCTCTTGGTGAGCACACAAGTCAGCCAAGAGAATAGGCCCATCTCACCTCTTCTCATCCTAGCTTTCCCACAGGAGATGAATATTTGCCTCCTGAGAAATCCTGGGCATTCTCTCCCTCACGCAGTGAGGCATGGGTGGATGAAGAAGAACTCTGAAATGTTACATTGTGCATATGTGATCAGAAGAATGGAAAAAGATACTTCACACTGGTCTTGATTCCAATTTTACTTACACCATTGTGAATCAAGATTGACTTCAATGAAGTAAATAGAATCACCCCTCTGTATAATGGATGCGACATCAGAATTAGGCTTCTTCTCTTCAAGGTATGCCCTCCATGATACCTGTGCAACCTGTTGCCTTCAGTGGGTTTGTATAGTTATAAGTGACTGAAATTTACTAAAGCATTTTGTTGATTACCAAAAAGAAATAGAATCCACCTTGTTCTCTTAGGGTTTGCCTACATGGGAAAGTTTTACCGGTTCTACATAGTTACACAGGTATAACCCCTATGTGGACATACTAATTCTGGTATAAGAATGGCTGTTTTCAGTTTAGCTTAAACCCGTTCCCAAACAACAAATTAAACCGAAAAAAGCCACTTTTATACCAGAATTAGAGTGTTCACATAGGGTGTGTGTGTGTGTGGGGGGGGTCAACTATATAACCAAACAACTATATCAGTTTAAATTCACACCGTACGTAATACTGAACACATATGCCCTTGTAGACAAGGCCTTTGTTGATTTGCCTTGACAGTACTGGGAGTAAAGCAGTAAAAACATACTTTTGTCATTACAATCAACAAATCTGGCTCTGAAACCACAAAGGAAACAGTTCTGATGAGTAAGAAAGTACCATTTTTATACTGTAGCATTACAGAGTAGAAAAAAATTTGGACTGATTTTTTCTTCGATAAGGACTATGAACAAACCATGACTTTACATATACCATCTGCCACTGAAGCATGTAAGAACTAAAAACACCACATTTGTTTGTTTAGTCTGATTGATTTAAAAATGTGTTAATGTGGAGCACATTGCTCACTGTAATCTACTTCATTCCTATACAAGTTTGGAAGTATATTAAATTCAGAGCTTAAACTTGACAACTGAACTTTCAGAACTAAATACTTATTCCACCTGGTAGTAAAATGAATCCACTGCACACTCTGGCTAATCCATTTTATTTTCTTTATAAATGGATCATTGGAACCACTGACCCATCTGCTCTTGGAACATATTAAAAAAGGACTTATAAACCAAGTAACTGTTTTCTTGACCAGTTTACATATTGCTTATGATTATGCAGATTGTTTCCAGAAGCACAGAAATAGGATGCTAGTGCCACATCAGATCTACATTAACAGCAAGAACAGTCACAAACAAAAGGACCACCCTATAATTTTAAAAAACTCCTCAGAGTTCATTTCTATAGCTGGCTATAAATATTCTGAAGACAAAACAGAAACTGATTTTCATAAAAAAAATTGAGGAAAAATGTCACCACTTTCTTTGAAACAATTTTTTGTTGTTGTTAGAAAAGGTGATGGAACAACCCGTTTCAAAAGATCATTCCTCTTCCAAAATTTCACCAATATCTTCATATGCTTAAAAACAGTCCAACACTGCCACATGGTGACCAGGAATGGGCACTGTTCATTGTGAAATAGTGTTGAGTAATGGAAGTGATAACATCTATCTGAGAAAAAAACACATTAAATATCTAGTCCATGAATAACCACAGCCATAAATAAAAAGAAAAATGAACTCTGAGAACAGAGTCTTTATGAAGGAAATATAATTCATCTAGCAACAGCCCATGTAAGAAAAATAATTTAAGATATTTTGTGAGTCTTTAGCAGCGTCGTTACCCTCCCCCCTGAGGAAAGCAGTTTCCACCCGCACATTTCTCAGTACAGCATGTACTTGCCAACAAGCAATATTTAAGTGTAACTAAAAAGTCTAGGACCATTTATTTCATTTTATTGTTTTTAAAGGCAGAAGCTTTTAAACAATGTAACATCACTTGGCATGAGAGACTTTTTCTTCCTGGAGTTCAGGAAGTCATAGAAATTTAATTTTAAAATTATCTTTTACATAGACTTTTTGATTGCTGCCTTTCTCACACTGAAGAGATAAGCTTCATAGATAATGTTTAAGAAGTTGTCGTCATTCTGAAAAACAAAATAAATAAGACTTGTTACTGGAGGATCATAGTTCTCAAGTTAAAAGATTCTGAATTCATTCCATTTCAGGATCTAATGAATTTTCAACCTTACCATCCCAGTCAAAATTGGCACTAGCAGGGGGTTTTCATCCTCAAACACACAAAAACAGAACACAAAACCCAAACACTTTGTTACCTCCGGCTAATAGCTTTAACAGCATTTTTTGCATACATTGGCAGCATGAGAAAAGGGGGAATTCTCTTATCTCTTTTAGAAGAGTTGAAGACACGGAAAACAGGAAATTTTGTAAATTCATGATGACGTTGGCTGGGTGAAAGTCAGACTTTTCTCTTTCCCGCCCTGCAAGACTTCTGTAGTGATAACATATACTTGTAATTTCTTCCCTTCACCCTAATTATCACATATCTAGGAGGTCCTTTACATAGTTTCTGTTCCCCACCCACTACTGCAATAATAATACCAAAGTGCCTGGGTGAGCAGGTGGGCTGTGTTTCTTCCTGTTCCTACACTAAATTCCATGCAGTCAAATTGCTGCACCTGCACTGAATGCCATTGGCTTTAATGGTCTTAATCTGCACTAGTTACTCCACCCATGCACACTTAAATAGCTGGCTGATTCTTGATCATCTGCTTAGGGTCTAACTGATCCTCATATGTGGAGTTGGGAAGGAATTTTCCCTCTCAAGTCAGATTGGCAGTGATCTTGGGGGTTTGAGCATTCCTCTGCAGCATGGGATATGGGTCATTTGCTGGGATCATCCGGGTATCTCTATCAATCAATTCCCAGCCACTGCAAGGGTCTCAGTCATTGGTGCACCTTGGTCCCTCCTATTGTCTGCCTGTAGCACATAATAATTTAGTCTCTAATGGGCTGTAGGCTTTGGTCTAATTTCAGTTGCTAGTTTAGTAGATGCTGGGTGGTGTTGGTGACCTGTGATATACAGGCGGTCAGACTAGATGATCTTTGGCTTTGAACTCTATGACTCTTTAGGATAGTAGGTCTCAAACTTTTTCCATTCTGCAGACCATTTTGCACTAAAATATTTTTCCATGGAGATCTCCCTTTCCAACACTTCAAAACGCCACACTGGCTGGTTCTCAAAATGGTTCAGTTTGCAGACCACCAGGATTTTACACACCACAGTTTAAGAACTACTGCTGCCGAACCTGACAGCCTGGCAGAGTGAAGGAACAGAACAACACAAATTACAAGGGAATGAACCAACCCATGCATGAGCATAGGAGGATAACTAAAATTAGGACAGTCCTTCCCCCCCAGAGCCTCCTGCACTCCATGAAACAGCTGATTGGGAGGTGCGGGGAGGGAAGGGGAGGCGCTGATTGGCGGGGCTGCCGGTGGGCAGGAGGTGCTGGGAGCACGGGGCTGCTGATGTATTACTGTGGCTCTTTGGCAATGTACATTGGTAAATTCTGGCTCCTCTCAGGGTCAGGTTGGCCACCCCTGCTCTCCATACTATTGCAATAATCTTTGTACAAAGTATCCCTTGAAAGGTATCAATTGAAAACTCATAATTTGCCGATATACAATATCATGGTAAAATGCATGTAGCAGAGTTATATGTGAAGTTATAAACATAAGCTGAAATCATGACTAAAAGTAGGTTTTCCAGATAAGTCTGAGGAGTGGCCAAACCAGTTCCTCAGAGATAAAGGGCAAGCTGATGCCTCAGCCAGGTGTAAACAAGGCTAATGGACCATTACCTGCTAAGTGGCCATTCTTTGGCAGGAAAGCGGGCAGAGGCAAAAATCTACATGTTAGCAAAGGAACAGCATGGAGTTTCCTGCCACAAAGATTGACTGTCCCCTGGCTCCCACCTGGAAATGTTTTTCAAGAGGGGGACTGAAAATATAAAAAGCAGGGGCAGATACCTCAAGACACTCCCTTCTTTCTCCCCCTGCCCATCATATTCATTGCCTCTGAAGAGACAAAGGAAACCGCCATCGGACTCTGGGGGAGTAGTCCTGTCCTAAAGAGTCTGGTCAGTAAGACTGCTGAAAGCATATGCTGAGGAAACTTTGAATCTAATGTAGTTTGTTAAGTTAGGCACAAATTGTGTTTTCTCTTTATTTTTGTTGTAATCATTTCTGACTTTTATGGGGCTTGGGCTGTCGTCCTCCCTGGTTATTTTTAGTAAAAGTCACAAACAGGTCACGAGCTTCCATGGATTTTTGTTTATTGCCCACAACCTGTCCATGATTTTTACTAAAAATAACCATGACAAAACCTTAACCTTATTTATAAGCACACTCTGCATTCCATTATATAAATCATTAATGAAAATACTAAATAGTACCAAACTCAGGACTGACGCCTGTGAAATCCCATTAGATATGCCCTCCTTGTTGGACAGCATGAATATGGTCTTTCAATCAGTTGTGCAGCCACTTTATAATAATTTCATCTAGATTGCTTTCCCCTAATTTGCTTATGAGAATGTCATGTAGAACTGTGTCAAAAATTTTACTAAATCAAGATGTATTATGTCAGCTGCTCTCCCACCCCCATCTACTAAACTAGTAACCCTGTCAAAGGAGGAAATTAGGTTGGTTTGGCATGGTTTGTTCTTGACAAATCCATGCTGGCTATTCTATAACCCTGTTATCCTCTAGGTGCTTACAAACTGATTGTTTTGATCCAGTATCTTTCCAGGTATCGAAGTTAGGTTGACTGATCCTATTCTTCTCCAGATCCTCTTTGTTCCCCTTTTTAAAGATAAGTATTATATTTGCCCTTCTCCAGCCCTCTGGACTTCACCTGTCCTCCAGGAGTCCTTCAAGATAATTGCTAATGGTTCTGAGATTGCTTCAGCTAGTTCCTTAAATGCCCTAGGATAAGATCCATTAGGCCCTGTTGGCTTGAATACATGTAACTTATCTAAATATTCTTTTCCTATTTTGCAATCCTTCCTCCTTGTTAATATTAATTGTTTTGAGTATCTGGTCCTCTAACTTTTTTAGAGATGACTGAAGCAAAATACTCATTAAACACCTCAGCCTTCTTGATGTCATCAGTTATTAGCTCACATTCCCTGCTAAGTAGAGGATCTACACTTATGTGGGCAAGTAGCCTAGGCTTAGAAATTGGAACCCAAGACCTGTCCCTCTTTATTCCTTATAAATTATATACATTTACCTTTGGCATTTACCACATCCCCTTTAAAACCACTGTTTCTAGTATCCATAGAATTTGAAGATAGGAAGGATCCTAAAAGAGCACTCATTCCACTCTGTGTCGAATACAGGATTGTTTTCTACATAATATTCCTGAGTGTTTTGTCAAGACTATATCTGAGTCACGCAAGCTGGAAAACTACATTTAATTGACCTTGTTGTTAAAATATTTTCTGGATATTTATCCTTCATTTTTACTTGCTCACCTTCATCCCATTATTTCTTATTCCTACTTGAACTTCTCCTGCCCTCAACATGGATCTCTTTTAAGGATTTCCAAAGTACTGTATTGCCATTGAGATGCTCATCTTTTAGCTAAACTACATACATGTTAGTAGTTTTCACCTTTAAGCCAATTCCTGTAAGCCCATAACATCCTTGTTCTCTCCCCTGAATCCCCTCAAATTTATCATTCTTGAACTGTTGCACCCCAAACTGCATACATTAATCAAAACAGTTAAACCACAACTGTAGCAAGAGGGACTATTATCTCCTTAGCCAATGATTTAGTGCTTCTTTAATATATAGCCAGAAATAGTACAACTGCCAGTGGACATTTTAGTTTACTAATCTATCATTCAGACTGGTGGATGGGACCAATTATCCATCAGAGATATTTAAATCAAAATGGGAAGGAGGGATACAAGCAAAGGGGGAATGTTTCTGATTCTTTACCTGGATCAGGTGTAAAAGTGTTTCCTGAAGCTGCATCTTGGTCAATGAGTTGCTGTTTACGACAGATGGCTCTGGATTCTGCATAGGAAGGAGAAGGCTAGCTGAATTAGAAGCAGATTCTTGATTTGCTGGTGGTAAGCACCCACTTTCACTTGCCTTTGGTGGAGCAGGTGTGGACTGTGTGAACAGCATGGGGGACATCAGCAGTGCAGGAGTCACAGTAGCAGGAATGCGCTGAGGTGAGATGACCTGCCCATACACAAATTAATAAAAAATGGAAGCATTTAAGCAATGTGTATATTCACTAAGAATACAGGGGTAAAGATGAAGAGGACTCCAGACAGAAATAGATTCACAAGAGCAGATATGCAGGGATACACTGAGGATTAAGAGTATCTGGGGCCCACAACCACCCATCCAGTTCAAGATCACAGTACTCAGTCTCATGTGTAATAAAGTCTATATATCTGGCAAATTGGTTAAATAGAAAATCAGCTTATTATAAAAGTTAGACTATTATAAATACTAGCACTGTAGAAGAATGACAAACTACAACATTTGAGGTCCTTCTTATAAGGATGGTCCTTACATGTCCCCTGGTTTGGGTTTTGAGAATATGCTCGCTAGTATGAGAGTGTACTTTAATAAATATTTTGAATTTTATAGTACGTTTCATCTATAGCTCTCAAAATACTTTGGGGGGGGGGTATGCATCCTCATTTTACAGATAGAAAAAACAGGAACAGAAGGTTAGGTGACTTGCCCAAAGTTCCATAGTGAGTTGTTGGCAGAGTCAGGAACAGAATCTAGTTTTGACTTCCTGGCCCATGCTCAATGCACTAGACTAAAAAAACCTTTAAAGAAAAAGAGAACATCTTTACCAGAAACCTAGATGCTACTATGATTCTGTCAGAGTTCCCTTAATTTTAGTCTAAGCAGGGAGGCACATATTGATTTGAAAGTAGATTGTGAGCCTGCAGAGTTTTTATCCTTTTAATTATGGGGTATATTTAGAACTATTAAATGTGCAGCACCGACAATGCTGCTAGGAATAAGATAATGTGACAAGTGCTCTTTAAATGTTCACCACAAAGCTCTAGCAATGGGCCTTAATTCTAATCTGTAGCTTTCCTCACTGCTCAAGTATCTGGCATTATTTGAGAGGCTTCCAGTGGGAGCAATATTGGGTGATTTTTTTTTATTATGGACAGACACCCATAGTAGCATCTTCTAAAGCTCTCTATGTAAGCTTGAAAGTTTGTCTCTCTCAACAACAGAAGTAGGTCCAATAAAAGATATTACTTCACCCACACTGTCTCTCTAATATCCTGGGACCAACATGATAACAACAAAACAAATATTTACTGTTATTTTATCTAAACTATTTGGGCACTATTCACCATAGTATGCAGTCACTCAAAAAAAGAGAGAGAGAAGGACTAAGTTCTCAAGCTACTTTCTGATGGTAAATTTACAGGAGTAGAAAAACTTTCTAGAAGGATTTGTGGATATGAAAAAGCATGCAATATTATGCTATCACTAACTGCACTGTTTAGTAAATATTGTTTTTCTGCTTTTCAAAGCCAGACTGCTTTTAAAAAAGAAAACTATTTACGTGCAATTCCTATTCCCCATGATGCACAATCATAACAGAAAGAAGCAAGTCTGTGTTCCCTGCACATGAATGGCAGGTCTTCCCTAACTCACTGCGTGGCTGCTGCCAGCCAGCAGCGAAGGTGGTACACGCATGTCTGTGCTTGGAACACTGCTGGCCCCTAGTGTTACTTATTAGTCGTTCTGTTCTAACAAAATGACTAATGCTGGCAGGGATGTTTCTAGCTAAAATAAAAGTAATATGCATCTACAAAATTTGGATACAGTGTCAGGTTTTTAAAAATCAAAGATACCACTTTGCTGTATACAATCTGAGGAATAAGAATCAGTTACAGAAGTATAGAGGTACCATGTTGTGCTTTTAATAGCATGGACTTATTCTAGTCATAAACAAACATACAATGTAGTTTAGTAGGCATCACGTAAGAATTATTTGTTTTTCATGGCGAGGAACTGCTTTTCACCAGTATACTTAAAACAGAGGCTAAGTGTGTAAGTAACCCTGCCATGTACTGGTGACTGAGCAAGTTAATATTTAGCTAATGCAATACCCAAGTAATCCTCACACCTAAAATATTTGTCTCGGGATAAGAATAGAAAATATATGCACCTATTCCTTGTAAATGAAGTCTTAAATTTTCTGTGTAACGAATTTAAAAATGTATATTCTTGTTAACAAATGAAAATTCTAGCATTTAAGTAGCTTCTGTACATGTGGAGGATAGTCTCCTTCAACACAAAGGAGACTTTTTTCAGTTTAGCTATTTAGTTCAGATATTTTCAGTTACCCAAGTGACAAAATTTACCCAACGGCTTCTGAACTTCTGTTAGAAATGTCAGATATTGATTCTGGTACTATTATTGTAATCTCTGTAGTACCTCCTGCAACTTTCATTGAGAGTGATTACTGTGGCTTGAAGGTCCTAAAGAATCTTTGGTAATGGAGTAATTTCAGATAAAACACCTTTGAGATGATCTCTTAGCTAGCAGGTGTGTAGGTGCCAAATTCAATGTTGCCAATATAGGACACTCGGGGCATGTCTACACTTACCAGTAAATCGGCACTGCTGCAATCGATGCAGCGAGTGTCAATTTAGCGGTTCTGGTGAAGACACACTAAATAGATGGGAGAGCACTTTCCCATCAATTTGTGTACTCCGCCTCCCTGAGAAACGTAAGGGAAGTCAACGGGAGACACTCTCCCATTGACACAGCACAGTGTAGCCAATGCGATAAGTGGATCTAACTACGCTGACTTCAGTTACGTTATTTACATAACTGAAGTTGCATAAGTTAGATCGATTTACCGCAGTAGTGTAGACCAGCGCTCAGTCTATTTTGACACTACTTTGCCAGTCAGCCATTTCTCTTATCTTTGAATAATTCCTCATAAGGACACAAATCACCTTCCTAAAAATGTTGCTAATAGATTTTTTTCTGATAGAATTTAACCTGAATTGCTTGTTCATTCAACATCCACTGATTTATCTCTAGCTTCACCACATCAAGACTTAAGTCTCTGACTCACCATCAGCACAGCAGGACTTTAGTTTGTCAGTTGTACAGCACTGCAATAGGACAACAAGAAAAAATATGCTGCTTTGAAACAAAGTATTTACAGCTGGATAACATGGCACTTGGTGAATTTATGTTATATTGTTTGAGCTGAGAAATGTATTGGAACTCTTGTAATGTAAACTGGGGCCTATTATCACACACTAGCTGCTTGGAATTCCATATGTATCAAATGAGTCTCTTAGAACGTTAGTAGTTAGAGTATGTGTTGTGGACTTCTGGCCATTTTTAGCGAGTATCACTTAGGACTAAAAACATTTCACCTAAAAATGTCTCAGCAAATTCTAGATGTAGCTGTTGCCAAGATTTTGTTGGTTAAAACCAGGGTACAAACATGTTTTTGTTGCCATGCACTTGTACACAACTGGTGCACTCTTCTGCTGTTGATTATATCTGAAATTCAAACCCTGGATGCCAAATTTATCTGTAGCCTAGTTATTTTGTTATTGCTGTTCAGAAACTCCCTTTCTTAAATATTTGTGATTGCAGGTTAACTATTACCCAAGTACCTCATCAAGTATAAAAGAATCTTTTGTGACTGGAAAGTTCATTCCGCCATGAGGTAAATGCTCCTAAGCATTTTCATGAACTGGCCTGTCATAACTAAAAAAAGTGCCTTTCCAAGTTTAATTCACAAATTATGGTATTTTTCAAATTTATTAAATGTTTTACTTGTGACAAGTAAAAAATACCAGTTGTACCACCACTGAGTACCATCACCACTACAAAGTACCACTTTTATGCACAGATAGAAATAACGCCCTATATTGAAAGTGTGTAACTGATTTAAGGCTGGTCTAAGAAGTGGTCTACTGTAAATAGGATAAATTATTTGTATAGTGTCAAGGCTACGGTAGGTACTCTTATGATCGTGGCATAAATTCATGAAAGCACTTAAGCACGTACTTAAGACCATCCCTATTCAGAACAGCACATGCTTAATGATAAGCAGGTGCTTAAAGTCCATTAGGGATCAATGCTTTCCCATTGGGAATTAAACATGCTTACTTGTTGCCTTTAATATGGATAGTTTCCTGAATCAGGCTAGCACTAGGCAGAGTGCCTCCTTTGTAGATTTGAGCATAACTGTTCAGCTTTTGCTATTTTTCCCTGCAACTAGTCTTTCCTTTCCATATGGGAGTTGAAAGTTCTTATGCCATATGGAGATACATCACAAGCCAATTTAAAACTGGGTTTGTAATGTGTCAGGACTATCGTTGAGAAAATACAAGCTATAGTCTCCTTATCATTGAAGAATCTTATCCGTTCCTTAAATACCCTTGGTCTTTTTTTTCCAATAATGAAGATACTGTTGAGACAGCATTCTATTCCTGGCAGATATCGTAAAATTTGCTTTATTGTCCTTTGATCTGTAGTAGGAGCAGATACCATACTGAATGATAAACAATTATAAGGAACAGACTTCTTGGTGCATTTATTGTCAGGATCTGCTTTGATTAATCTTGCTTCAGCATGTAAAAATATATTTGTGCCAGATCTATTTAATTTAAATGTTTATTCACTGGACAGGGTGGCAAACAAGTCTTCAGTCTATAGAAAAGAATACTGAGATACACTGAGAGGGATTGACCCTGATTTTAAAGTCTCTACAGATTTTTACCTTCCCATCTTTTTCAATAATAGGTATAACTGGCTTGGCCAAGTCACTGAATTCTATAGGAAATCCTGTGCTAACTAGCCTTTCTTAGTCTATGTCTACTCTCTGACCCAATGGAATGGAATAGGTCATGCCTTACAGAATCTAGGTTGGTAGTGGTACTAATGATTAATCATATCTTAATCATTTTTATAGTCTGTAATAGGTCTTCTAAACAATGCTGAATGTTTCAAAGTTAGTACAACCAGTACAACACTAGTGGTGGTTGGTGTCTCAGCCAATAAAGCCATCTCCTGTCAGTCAATATGAATCTTCTTGAGTAATGCTTTGCCAAGCAAGGTGAGATTGGAATTGTAATAATTGTTGTTGCATTTTATGCACATTTACAGTAGTAATCTCTGGAATGACTTTTCCCTGTACGTATTTTTGCTCTCAGCCATTGTTTCTCTTTGAATTCTTCTAGTAAAATTACTAAGATTATGAAGCCAGTATCAAGTTCCATTCTGAATGGTTGTTCTTTCCATCTCAGGTTTACCCAGATATAATTACTGCTTTCTTGCCTTTTTCAAACACATGCAAAATGAGGTCACTATCACTTATCAGTCACTATCACTTATCAATATCAATACCAATCTCTTTTTCTGAGATGGGTTATATTTTTGTTATTTCCTATTAGTACAAACTGGTTTATAATATATAGCTTGACACTTGATGATTTTCTAGGTTTGAATAGCTCATTTTCCCCATGCTGTGTGCATGTTTCATAGTGAGTTAGACAACTTCTCACACTTACAGAATGCAGTCCCCTCACCCAGTGAAAACAAAAGTAATTACTGTGACTTTGGTTACCTTTTTGTTAGTAACTTTTAGGAAATGGATAGAAAATATCATAATGCCACTATATAATCCCATGATGTGGCCACACCTTGAATACTGTGTGCAGTTCTGGTCTCCCCATCTCAAAAATGATATATTAGAATTGGAAGAGGTACAGAGAAGGGCAACAAAAATGATTAAGAGTATGGAACAGATTCCATATAAGGAGAGATTAGTAAGACTGAGACTTTTCAGCTTGGAAAAGAGACGACTAAGGGGAGAGATATGATAGAGGTCTATAAAATCATGAATAGTTTGTAAAAAGTGAATGAAGGAGTGTTATTTACTCCTTCATATAACACAAGAACTAGGGTCACCCAATGAAGTTAATAGGCAGCAGGTTTAAAACAAACAAAAGGAGGTACTTTTCGCACAATTGCATAATCAACCTGTGTTGCCAGGGGATGTTGTGAAGGTCAAAACTATAATGGGGTTTACAAAAGAATTAGATCAGTTCATGGAGGATAGATCCATCAATGGCTATTGGCCAAGATAGTCAGGGATGCAACCCCATGCTCTGGTTGTCCCTAGCCTCTGACTGCCCAAAGCTGGGAGTGGACAACAGGGGATGGATCACTCAACGATTATCTGTGCAATGCTCTGCTATAACGTCGTTTGGCTGCCTGCTCTGTCCACAGCTGGCAGACCCCCTATCAGCTCCCCTATGCCCCCCCCCCCCAGCGTTTCCCGCCCGCTGGCAGACCCCGCGGATCAGTGCCTTCCCCCTCTTCCCCCCGCCTCCTGCCTGCAGCAATCAGCTGGCTTGTGGCGTTCAGGAGGGAGGGGGGAGGACTTGGCGTGCAGGCTCCCCTCCCTCCCCTGCCTCCCGAAAGCTGCAAACCAGCTGATTGCCCCGGGCAGGAGACAGGGGAGGGAGGGGGGAGCCTGCACACCGAGTCCTCGCTCCTCCTCCTCCCTCCTGCCCCCTGAACGTCGCAAGCCAGTTGATTGCTGCAGACAGGAGGGGGGGGGGAAGAGCGAGGACACCGGTGCACCTGCCTCCTGCCCGCGGCAATCAGCTGGCTTGCGGTGTTCAGGAGGCAGGGGTGAGAGGGGGAACCTGCGCGCCGTGTCCTCGCTCCTCCCCACTCCCTCCTGCCTCCTGAACGCTGCAAACCAGCTGATTGCCACGGGCAGGAGGCAGGGGAGGGAGGGGGGAGGAGCGAGGACGCGGCGTGCGGAGTAAAGGGGGAGGGGAAGAAGAGGCGGCATGGGTGGGCTGAGGGTTGAGCCCCCCCGCCCCTGGTGCTTGCAGAGTAGGGGAAGCTGCCGCTGCGCAACGTGCTTCACCTAACCTACAGCACCTTCAGCCTCCTTGCTGCCTCATTGTCTCCAGTGCCAGTGGGCTGTGCCTGTCTGGGGTAAGGCAGGGGCACCTCCCAACTATAGTACTGTACTGTATGGCCAAAAAAAAAAAAAATTCCCTGGCACCTAGCCCCCCATTTACATTCATTCTTATGGGGAAATTGGATTCACTTAACATTGTTTCACTTAAAGTTGCATTTTTCAGGAACATAACTACAACGTTAAGTGAGGAGTTACTGTAATGGGAATTAGAGAACAGCCTTATAAAACTGAATTCTGTTGCACTGCAGCTCAAAAGATTCCTAGATACCTTCCCCACAGGCATTAGTTCCTTAAATCACATGTTTACCTGAAAGAGAGGGCTCTGCTTTTGTGCACCTGATGTCTTGTCTATCCAGGCGTCCAAGGGTTTTAGAGTGTTGGTGTTCTGAGTAACTACAGGAAACTTAGCTGCCAAGGTAGGTCTGCTGGACACATGTAACTGTTGCTCCTGTTGCACTATCTGGAGTTTTTTCAGTAACTCTTGGGGTGAAATCACTCCAGAACTGGTTGATTGGTTGCCCGAGAGGGAAAGTGGCTGTCTAGGAAGTTTGGACTGTTCTTTACCAACAGTCTGAGGCTCTAAAGTCTGGGCTGGAAGAGAGCCATTGAAATATACCAGATGTGGCTGGGTCATGTTATTTATCTGTGCTGCTGATGCTGTAGCAGCAGAAGTCCTGCTGAAGATTGAAGCTGTTGAACTTACAGTACCTGTTGCACTTGGGTCCATTTTGGTCACTGATCCTGATTGTCCCTGCAGTTTCTGTAACAAGCTTTGAGTGCCAGTTGTGTCCTGGGCTGGATGAGATGTTACAACACCATGAGAAGTCACCGGTTGGAAGAGTCCAGTGAAAACCTCCCCTACGGAGCGGACATTGCCGTTTTCACACAGTCGATTCTCAGGAAGCTCAGAGAGTGGATGAAGGTCTGTCCCACGCACCATAAGTTTTTGAATAGCTGGGCAAAGCTGCTTCTCTGCTGAGGGTGAATGTCCACTAGGTTCCTCATAGGACAGTGAACGCACTACCCTCTGCCTGACAGAAAGATTAAGTTGGTGCTTTTTCTGTGACTGTTCTGGGACATCTTGGTATATGGTAGGATTTTCTTGTTTTCCAAACAGTGCTGTCAAAGATAAGTGTTGTGGTTCTGAGTCCATGTTCTACAAGGAAAAAGAGAATAAGTGAACACAGTTCTTGTGCACATTAAGCTACATTAACTGTCTGAAGTGTTACCTTGCAGTATCTGAGGAACAGCCAAGACAACTGACCTACACTTCCTCCTCTCAAGAGGATTATTTAATGATTGTGTCATGTGGGAGGAAAGGATTTTTAAACAGCCTTGAAACTCCTGGTCTGTGAGAAAAATGCTGCTTCCAGAAAAAAGGTACCAACTTCACTTTCAATGCCTAGAGAGAAGGGTCTCCTCTTACAGTCACTAATAAAATATTAGAAAAGCTCTAAAAGGTTATGAAGGGGAAGAAAGGAACCTTCTGTCCCTGTGGGAAGTAGTGTCACTTTCTGTCTTTCGCCTTACCATGGCAAAATGGATGTAGCTTGCTGGATTTTGCATTGTGATGTATTTTTAAGTCATATGAAAGGCATCTATCATGTATGGAAAGGCATTTGTACAAATTTAAATTAATAAATGAATAATAAAATAAGCTGTGTTCCACTGGCTAGTTGGTGGTTTGCCTGCAACCACAACAACTTTCCTGAATTGAGAGATCAATTGTTTTTGCTTGACTCAGCATACAACATCTATGTTTTAAATAACCATTTTACACAAAAAAAGCTATTTTTTGTAAAGAGATATTAATTTTGCATTAAGACCATCCCATTTACCCTAATTCCACTTCGCATTATTGTACTATTTGATCTACGCAAGAATCCTCCCATGCCGGATATGTTATGGCAGCACTAGTCAGAGTGCAAAATAAAGTGTACCTTGCCTTGCTGAGGTATTTGTTGGTGCTGAGTTTCACTGGGCTTCACTGGTATTGGTTTGATCAGGTTTGGGTTGTCATAGATAGCAGAGGAACTGGTCATTTGCTTTGGCTCTGAACAGGTCTTACACTGCAACAGAAATAAAACATATTTTGGAATGAAAGAAACTACCACTTTCTTAAGGGATGTTCTCCCCTAACTTTGTATCATAAAATCCCAAACTGGTTAAGTCTTCAAGAAATACCACCACTTGCAAGCCTGACAACTGATTGTGATAAATGAGGATACTGAATAGAAGTCAATCTCAGTTCCTAGGAACGTTAGCATAAGTTTACGGACTCAAGTCCCCAATGCTTTGTATGTGAGCCTTTAAAAAAAAAAAAAAAAAAATTCCCTTCCTTGTCTTTTCCTGTACATAAGGCAAAACCAACCTGGCACCTTACAGACCAGACCACAGCTACAGGTTTTCTCTATCAGTGAACAGCTAGTTCTGTTATGGCTTGAAAGTAGCTTAGGTACCTGAAGGATTTATATGCACATATATTTACAGGCTATCAATAGGCACATTTTACATATTTTACATTAGTACTTTCATAACCTCATAATTTCAGCTTGCCTGGCAGATATAGCTCTATTGAGAGACAACTGCCACCCTCAAAAGAGCAATTCAACGCACATTTCTTTTTCTCAAATGCTCCTGTGTGGATTGCTGCTGGTTTTCAAAAAGGAAGAGGAAAAAGAAGAAAGAGAAATGGAGAGACGATTAAAGAACATGAGTGTGACAGTTTGAAAGCTGGTATCCTATAGATTTTCCACTGAAATTTACATGGAACAAAATTTAGAGATGGCCTATAAAAATAATGCCGTACAGTATATCACTTTGTTTACTATTTTTACTAGTTTCTGGGTTTTCTTTAAAACAGGGTTGTAAGGGAGGACTATATTTTAAATCTTTTTTCCTAGGGTTGAGGGTTATATTTGCTGATCTCCTCTAGATAACAATCTCATGCCATCGACAGTCACATAACATGTATAGTTTATACACACTTAAAATCTTAAGGAAAAAAACTGAAGTATGTGATTGGTTAGCATTTGAGTCGGTATGTTCTCTTGTTAAATACTGATATGTTAACTGGTATTCTTATCTCAAAAAGGATTGGGCAGAAGTAGAGGGGGATTCAGAGATGCTCGACAAAAATGATTAACAGTATGGAAAGACTAAAATATGAAGAGAAACTGGGAATATTTAGTTTAGAGAAGGCGCAAATAAGAGGAAACATGCTGGAGGTATACAAAATAATGAATAGTACAGAAAAGGTAAATCAAATGCTTTTCTTTACCCTCTCATAATTGAATGACAACAAATATAAATTTGATAAAAGGAAATTATGCACTGTATAAAGAAAGCAGTATTAGCCCGTGGAACTCTGATACAAGATACTACTGTGACCAAGAGATAAGCAGATTCACAGAAGGATTAAATATTTCTACTAATAACAAGAACAAGTTAATTAGACACAACAAACAAAAATGTGGAGGAACTATAAATTCTCATTCTTCAGCGCATAAACCAACCTCTAACTGATGAATATTAGGAAAAAGCTTTCCTTATGTCCAGATCATTCTTTAATTGTTGACTTTGGGCTTGTACGCCTTCCTCTGAGGCGTCTGGTTCTATGCATTGTTGGAAATAGAATAATGGAACAGATGGACCAGGGGTCTGATACAGTTCCTATGCAATTACTAAAACAATAGGGCTCTTAGGCTTTTGGTGTTCAGAGACCATTGCCTATCATGCTGACCCATGTCTTACTGTTTCGTTGTACTCCCCCATGTGTCTATATCCATCTACTGGCTCTTGTCTTAGAAAGTAAGCTCCTTGGGGTGGGGACCATCTTTTCATTCTGTGTCTATCCAGAGCCTAGCACTGTGGGGTCCTGGACATGGCAAGGGCTCCTAGGTCCTATGGTGGTACTACTATTAAAGAAACGACGGGGTGGTCTGGGTAGCAGACGCAAACCTGGCAGGATTCAAAGGACTGATCATAAGCCAGAATAGCTACCGAACAGTTAAAAATAAACTTGAGAGATATACAAGGCAGAGTGGACTGAAAACTATCCAGTGCATCCATTTCTAATACACCTATCACCATGGGAAAACAAATGAGAAAGAGAGGGACAGATTAGTTCAATGACTGCATGAGAAGGCCAATAAAGAAGATCTTGATGACTGTTAGAGAAGGCAGGGTATTTATGTCCTGGTTCTATGGAATGCTGGGCTTGAGGGAACTGCCCTAACTGCCAACTACTTCTCAAAAATAGTTCAGTGGCTATGTGGACAGGCATGTAACTCCTACAATGGTGCTCAGGGGAGGAAATGTCATGAAGGAGCATCAAAGTTCAATTCATACACCTGGGCTTCTGCTGTTCTGCTTCAACCTCTGGCTCAGATGCTGCCTTCAGCACTGGTTTTTGGAGGCACAAACACAGACATGCTAAAAGGGCTGCTAGCAGCAAGGTGGAAAACGTTAGTTCAGTTCTTGAATCTTCCTTCATGCGGTGCCCATCTGGCATAAGGTCAGCAACTGCTTCAAGCAACAGGACTAGGAAACTATGACAACCAAATAGTAAACTTTGCCCTGAAAGGAGAACTGCAAAGCAAAAATGGAACTTGAGTTAACTATAAAATGCTGTACTGAATGCCCGCTGGATGGGCAGCATTCAACACAGAGAGCTATATAAGCTATCCTGCTACAATTTTTTCCCCTCGGTGTAAAAACTTGTTAGTATACACTAGTTCACTGAAGATGTCTGGGGTATCTCAAATGTCAGAAGTCTCATCAATTCAAGCACAGGCTGTGGTATTTGATGGCACACAATGGTGAATTTTAGGAGCTCTTCAAATGAACTAGGAAGTACCAAGAGGATTTCGCAGAGAGCAAGAGAAACTTCTTAAAAAATGAGTTTATATTGATTTCTATGCTCAATGCCCCAAGGCCTGGTTAAAGAGGGCAGAAATCTGGGCTTAACTAAAGTTTCACTTTTGCTTTGCAGTTGCCCTTTAAAACCTGTTACATATGGATGGCTTAGAAAGACAACATCAGAACAACAATTTGAAGATCCAGTATGGAAGAGGGAAGAGTGTGCCAAAAACATTAAAATAGATATTTGTGTTAAGAAAAGTTTCCTTTGCATTAATCAACGCCGAATGGCACATGTCATTGTGTTGTCTATTCACCTAGCTTTGTTAGGTCCCTCTGGAGTTCCTTCACCTTTAAGTTTGTGCATGCAGCATCCACACGGGGAGTTACAGAGCAGCACTTTGATGCACACCGCTATTCACCCCCCCCTTAGTCTGAGCTTTACAACAATGTAGACATGCCCTTAAGTCTTAAGTCACTTCGGCTCTTTGGAGAATTTTACCACTGGACTTAAATGAAAGAAAACAGACCTCTTGAATGCACTAAAACCTGCTTGTTTATCTTGTCTGTTCCTACTCTATGGCACACCAGGCTTCCATTATCCTCCCGAATCACAGAGACTGCAGAAGGGGTAATAAGCAGACTTGACAAGCTGATTTCAGCACAATGAGTCGTGAGACATAAGCTGGCAAGAAAGTATAACAGTCATGAAGTGGCCAAAAATCACGGTACTTGTGAAGTATAGTGGCATTTGAGGTAGGGGTGTCATCTGCTATGAGGCAAGGGGGATAGCTGCCTCCCCCAGACCTTGGTTTGCCTTCCTCCTCTGACTTTTCATAGGTCTATATACTCCATTATGTCTTTTTACCCCTTCTCCGAACTCTGCAGGATATAATATATCCTATAACAATGTTCTAGATGCTGATGCAACTTTGACCCCTCCTCCCAAAATTTTCTGAAATGATACCCCTGATTTAATGTAAAAATAAATCTGTGTGTCACTATTTGTCCCCCTCCTCCTTTCGTAATTTTATGTTACTAAGGCCACTGGCATGAAAACATGATCTCTAGTCTGTACCAGGTCAGCTATTCCTGCTGCTTATGCCCTAGCTGAAGGCAAAGTGCTCTGTTGCAGAATATTTCCTTGGCAACCAATTATGATGCCACAAACATAGGATTATGTGGGGCATAAGCAGCAGCAGCAAATTTACAAAATATTCAGACTTTGTTTGCACACATATCTCCGAACAAAATATTTTTGTATTTCTCTTCCTCTATTATCCTACTACATAAATGTATATGTATAAAGGGAGAGGGAGAGACTTTTCTCTGTCTATCATTCATTCATCACCAAGGTAACTGAGCACAAGCCTGATGTTTTTCTAAATTTTCCAGAAGGTACCATTATAGTTTTTTCAATAATGGCTATTCAAATTAGTTGTAAACACTTTATTGTATATGAAGCAACAAAGTTTTGATCCAAGCCTAGGTAACAATTCAGGATTAAATTACACCAACAAGTCTCCTTTTTGTCATCTGTTTAAAGCATTAAACCCACCTCTTACACAGAACAGGTCTCAAGATGCTGGCTTCAAAAGCAGCTCTGCCACAAGAAACAAAGGCTACATTTCATGGGAGCCGAGAAAATTCACTACAGCCTTGCTTAAAATCTTATTAGTAACCACATTTCACAAAAGAAATAAAATCACCTCTCTTTAAATTGCTTGTGTTAAAAAAATATATATTCCCAGATACAAAACTCTAATATCTTATGAGCTCATTATTCAATGGTGCTCCATATGAAAGAAAGGAAACAGCAGCAGGATCCAACGGAGGCTCTGAAATAATTTACACCATTGATATGAATAATTGAATTGATTAGACTTTTATTCTGAAAGGTAAAACATTTTGGGCTGCTCAGTAATAAAGAGAAGAAAGTTAATTAATCCATTAGTTACTTAGGTGTCTTAGAAACTCCAGAACACAGAGGAAGCATGTGGGTTCAAATTATACTAGGTTTCAAATCTTTTCATTTCCATCCATCAATGACTAAACTACATCTCACCAACTACATTTAAAAACAGTTACTTACATGCTAGGTAGGGGTATTCTCAACCAAAACTAAAGTATGGAAAATACATTAGATATTTGTCAAAGAGACTGAGAATAACTTCCCAGCAGCTAGAAGCCACCATGAGCATGTCATCCAAATCAAAGAAGTTAAAAGCAACAGAGGGTCCTGTGGCACCTTTAAGACTAACAGA